CCGGTGGGCTGAGGTAAGGGCGGCTGTCGGGCCCGCGTCTTCCCCCTTTCTGTCCCTTGGTTTTCCTCGCGGGTGCACGATGCGTTTCATTCAGGTTTGCGTCGCACGAATAGCCCCCCGTGCCCAGCTCCGGCTCAGTTTGGAGCTGATGTTCGCTGGTTTCATCAGCTGCCCGGAGTTGCATCGGGACGTTTGTTTGCCGGTCACGGTGCGGCGCTGCCCTCTTCCCTTTACTCCAGCGCATGCAGTCCAGCATGAGTGGTTCACCAGCCTTTTTTCCCCCGAATTTTCCCATGTGGTAAGGTCTGTTATCGGATGAAGTTTCCTTTCTTGGTGAGCCCTCGGTCTGCCTGGCGGCAGGGGCCTGGTCTGTCACCAAGTGCCAAGCCCAGTCTGGGGTGCATTGCCCGGGTGGTGCCTGTGCGTGACCTGCACAGAGGCCCAAGGGCGCAGATGAAAAGCTGTGCGGGAGAAAGTGTGCTTCTTGCCTGTCACCAGCGGCTTTGCTTCCGTGTTTGTGCAGCTAGATCGCACAGAGAGGATCAAGAACTGCCAAAACCCTGAATTCTGCAAGAAACTGGTCGTGGACTACTACTTTGAGAAAGTGCAGAAGCTGAAGCTTGGCGTGTATGATATTGATAACAAGTCCTTTGATTTAAATGATGATGACTACCTCGGAGGGATCGAGTGCACGCTGGGACAGGTAAGCATAGAGGCATGTTAAGCGGTCTGCAAAGTAGCAGCAAGCTTTGGGTTTATTATGAAAAACAGAGTGAATGACTGCTTTATTAAAGGCTTTGATACATGCAAATTTGAAAACATGTTGTTGAATAAGTTATTTTGTGTTACTGTTGAACGTGGTTAGAAAAATCATTGCGTCAATTGCAAAGTGATGGCACGTGGTTTGCAATGAGCAGCTTAACTTCAGAGGTGCTTGTGTCACTAAAGGCAGTCTGGCAGGCAGGTGGTGCTTGGAGAGCTCTGGTGGAATTTCCTTTGCCCAAAGTGATCGTCAGGCAGTAAGTTTGGGGAAATAAGGCTGTTTGAGACTGTATTCATTTCCTGAGGAGGGTTTTATATAGCTGGGGTTCACGTTATTACAGAAAGACTTAAATTAAATAGTCTTTTCTGCTTTTTTAATAGCTTTTTGGCTACTGTGATGGAAATGCCTCTTGTGTGTCAGGGGTAGCAAAAATAGGAGGCTAAAGTTAAGTTTTGAGACATGTTAGTGGGGACATGTTAGTGGATAGTGAGAGAAGATAATTTTCAGGCTGTTCACCTGTTCAGGAGCACAAACTGATGGCTGTCGCTGTTGGAAATGCATTTAAATCCTTCTAGATCTTTTAGGAGAAATTGAAAATTTTGCTCCTGAAGGGTAATTCATAGTTCTTGGTCTAACTTGATACTGCTGTTATCTGTCTTTTAACCTTAGATTGTGTCCAGCTCAGTGTTCACCCGACCGCTGGAATTGAAGGAGGGAAAGCCAGCAGGAAAGGGCACAATTACGGTAAATAAGGCTTTTGTGTGGAAAAAATGGTTTCTCGTTCTTTCATGTTGTTTGGGACAAGGTAACGTTTCTGGTTTTCTGTCAGTATATCGACAAATGCTACATGTGTACAGGGGAGATAAACATTTGTAACGGTGGTTTCTTTCATGGACAAAGTACAAGCAAAACTCTATGGGGTTTCTTGTTTCATTAATTTTTATTCTCCCTGTGGCACAGATTTCAGCAGAAGAGATTAAAGATACTAGGGTTGTGTACTTGGATGTGGAAGCCCAAAACTTAGACAAAAAGGTATTGATTTTTTTAAATTCTATTGCATGCTTCTGCAATATTTACAGTTAGTGCCTTTTGGCCAGGAATCTCTCTGCATTTACAGACGTTCAACTCAGCTAAGTAATCCATGTATGAAAGAAGGCTCTCTGTGTTTCGTTACTTACAATGAGATAATCTGGAGACATAATTTTGTGTTGAAAAACACAATATCAAACCAGAAACTCAACTGCCAGGTTTAGGTTTGGGGGATTATTTTGGTTTTGGAATATTCCATAGATTAATACAGTTGAATTGCATGATTGTCTCCAATGAATATTGTAGCTGTGAACTGAGCTTTCTGTAACCTTGTTGAGGAAGAAAAGGTGCAAATTTAGGTATGCTGCCTTGATGTTATTTTAAGCCAGAGACCAGTTTAGGGTTTTAGTGACCTCCGTGCTCAGTCAGCAAAGTGACGTGATTTATAGTGACAAAAATGGTCTGAGGAGGTGATCTTGGAATTGGAGCTGATAAATTCCGATGGCTTAGAAAATGCAGAAGTTTAAAAGACAAAAGTAAATTAAAAGGGAGGAAGACAAATGCATAGTTTGTTTGACTTCAGGCTTTGTTTGAAGAGTTGTGTGCTGATTAGCCAGCTCCTCTCATCTGAGCAAAATATAGAGGCTGATTACTTCTGTTGGGTTTTTGCTTGCAGGATTTCTTAGGTAAATCGGATCCGTTTTTGGAGTTTTACAAGCAGAGTGATGCTGGAACATGGCAGCTGGTGTACAGATCGGAGGTAGTATTTCTATGCTGATGTTTTTCTTGAGTTGATCAGACAGCTTACTCCTACTGAAAGTGGAAGTCCCACTCCTGGTCATGCTTTGCCCCAGTTCTGCAATGAAAGTGTATCCTAAAAAAGGGATTCCTCTTGCTGACCTGGCGGAAAATTGTTTATTTGCTGCCTGGTGACTGGATTAAGCTGGCTCAGTGAAGAGTCCAGCCATGCACCCAGTGAGAAGGGTGGCAGGACTCTCCTTCCATTCAGTGGTGATGAGCTGTTCGGTTGGCTTGGCTCTAAAATTTAACTTTACCCTGAACTTAAAGCTTTTCTTTCGTTCATAGCTTTTGCTTGGCCACTCATGCATGTCAGGGTTGAAGTGACTGAGGCTGTTCTTAGATGGCGGTGCAGAACCCTCGTGTTCTGTTTCTGGCACGCTGCATCCCTTACATGACATTATGCTGTAATTTTTTAAGGTGATAAAGAACAAATTAAATCCATGCTGGAGGAAGTTCAGTGTTCCTTTGCAGACGTTCTGTGGTGGAGACTTTAACAAACCTGTCAAGGTACAGCCTTCAGAAATTCTCTTTGTTGTTATAAGTAATTAAATCTCTGATGTTGATGTTAACTATGTGTTACCAGGTTGTCTAGTCGTATTTAAATTTTTAGATTGTCTTTCTAGAACGGTAGTATGGCATATAAGTGATTATATGTCTATTAAGTATGAGGTCTGTATTAAAACATTGTGAGTCATCAAATTGAGAAGTCAGGAAATCAGAAGTGACGCACTTCCTAATGGTTAGTTGTGAGAAGAATTGTAACTGATTTTTTCACTATTCTGGCCAGGGTTTCAGGTTGGGTTTTGGTGGGGGATTTTTGGTTTTGTTTGTTTGTTTTTAAACTGTGGCTTTCTACCACTGTTTCTAAGTTAGCAGAGAAGCTCATAGATGTTGGATGAGCTTGAATGCCTTAGGATACTGACATAGAGAGGACCTTAACATATCTGTCAGATTGATCTATTCATGAGACTGGCAGGCTTGTCCCAATTCTTTTTCAATCTGTTTCAACTAGAAATTTGGTTTTGGGTCAGAACTGCAATTCCTTGTGGTCTTGTATATGATGATTAATTGTCTCTGGTCCTGGTTTATGGAGGTGGTAGCAGAACAATTACAGCTTTTAGTAGTTTCTACAAAAGAGAACCTGAGAGCAAATTAATTTCTTAATTCCTGTTCTAAGCAATGCATTGATAATGTAAAGGCATTTAAATCCGTAGTTAGTTTTATGTGAGTATAGCCTCTCTCTGCTTACCCAACTCCTAAACACTTTCCATTTGCAGAATTTTCCTGTCTCATCCTTTCTGTGAAGAAATCTCATGCTGGAAGTTTGGTCTGAAAGGTTTAGTAAAAAGCATGCGTGCTAATGTTTTTATTTGTGCACTATGGCAAGTTCAAAGAATTACTGAGATTATTAATCTGGAGGCAGATGTTCAGGTGTGCTATGCTTGTTGATACATGGCAATGTTCAAAGTGATGTCCATGAGCTTTTATTGTTGGGGAATCAACAGTCTTGGGTCAGATTGAAGTCCTCTTGGGCCAAAAGTGAGCAGCAAATGTGGAAAGGAGATGGCACAATGATGCATATTATCATTTGTCAAAACTGAAGTGACATGGCATGGTTTACACATTCTGTTACATGAGGCTGTGTTTGCTATAGTCCAAGAAGATTTGTGTGATTGTTTTGTTGTTGTTGTTGTTGTATTGGCCTTGGGGCTGTTCTGTTTGGTTTTTTGTGTTTTGTTTGTTCAATTGGTTGGTTTGCTTGGGTGTTTCATTTTGGGGGTTTTTGTTTGTTTGTTTTCCAGAAGCTTTCTGTGCTTTGGAATGACCTGCTTCTTAAAAAGGATGGATTTTTGCTGTTAGTTTGTTTCAGCCGAAGTTCTCACAGCATGAGCAAATAATCTATTAAGTTCCGCAACGCAGCTGTGTATTTAACAGAATCATAGAGTTGTAGAGTTGTTTTGGTTGTAAAAGACCTTTTAAGATCATCAAGTCTGACCGTTACCCTAACACTGCCAAGTCCATCACTGAACCGTGTCCCGAAGCGCCACATCTACACGTTTTTTTGAACACCTCCAGGGACGGTGACTCCACCACTTCCCTGGGCAGCCTGTTCCAAAGTTTGACTACTCTTTCGGTAAAGAAATTTTTCCTAATGTCCAATCTAAACCTCCCCTGGTGCAACTTGAGGCCCTTCCCTCTTGTTCTATCACTTGTTATTTGGGAGAAGAGACCAATGCCCACCTCGCTACAGCCTCCTTTCAGGCAGTTGTAGAAAGCGATAAGGTCTCCCCTCAGCCTCCCCTTCTCCAGGCTGAACAATCCCTCCTTCAGCTTCTCCTCCCCAGACCTGTGCTCCAGACCCTTCACCAGCTTCGTTGCCCTTCTCTGGACATGCTCCAGCACCTCAGTGTCTGTCTTGCAGTGAGGGGCCCAAAACCACACACAGTATTTGAGATGCGGCCTCACCAGCTCCCAGTACAAGGGCACGCTCAATCCGCTCCTCCCACTGGCTACACTATTGCTGATACAGGCCAGGATGCTG